CCATCCCAAATCACGAATTAAATGATGAATTCAATGATAGATTCATGTATTCTAGCCAAATCTGAGTTAGAATCACTTACCCCGATGAATTTCTTGAAAAACCTTCGAAAAATCACCAAAATCCGAGCTCTCTAGGTCAAAATATTAAATAAAACCCAAAACTTCATATTTATAGAGTATCCCACTATTTTCACCTCTGCGGACCGCACAAAAACGACCGCGGTCCGCACAAAACCAGTGCGGCCCGCACAAAAATGACTGCGGCCGCATAGGTTTTCATCTATAGTGATAGGCTTTAGTATTTTGGCCATAACTTTCGCTACAAATGTCCAAATTGCGATATCTTTTCCTTTCTGGAAACTAGACACGAAGGGCTACAACTTTCATTTTTGAATCATCTCAAAAAATTTTGCAAATCAAAAGGTATGAGCTTCCGAAATAGGACCAGTGAAATATTTCCCACCGCGGCCGCACTGCATTTTGTGCGGTCCGCACAGCACCTACCGCAGCCGCACTTCATTTTGTGCGGACCGCGCTGGTGGGTTCCGAGGCCTGCAACCCTTCTGGACCTGCTACAGTTATGATTTTCGGCCTAAAACATCCCGAAACCTACCCGGAACCCCCCGGAACTTCAAACCAAGTGTACCAACACATCCCATGACATCGTTCAAACTTGTTCAAAACTTCGGAACGCTCACAACAACATTAAATCACCAATTAAACATAGGGTTCAAGTATAAGAACTCCAAAAACTCTTAAATTATGCTTTCGATCAAAAAGTCTATCAAATCTCGTCCGAATGACCTGAAATTTTGCGCACACATCCCAAATGACACAACGAAGCTATTGTCTCTCAGAATTCCATTCCGACCCCTATATCAAAATCTCGCCTATCAACTGAAAATCGCCAAAATATCAGCTTCGCCAATTTAAGCCTAAATCTTGTCTACAACTCCAAAACCCATTCTGATCGCGCTCCTAAGTCACAAATCACCTCCCGAAGCTAACCGGACCATCGGAACTCACTTCCGAGCCTTCTAACACATAAGTCAATATCCGATTGACTTTTCCAACTTAAGTCTTCTTAAAAGAGACTAAGTGTCTCAAACTTCACCAAACTCATTCCGGACTCGATCCGACCAACCCGATACCACAAAAACACGGATAACGAAGCATAAAGAAGCTGAAATGGGGAAACCGGACGGTAATTTATGAGACGACTGGTTGGGTCATCACATCATCAAGCCAAGTTCTAAAAACTAATTTGTAACTATCGATATCTTCATGAGACTTGAGAGCACATCCTAGTAAGATGGACTGTCTATGGTGATTGATGCCAACAAATAAAGCACATGGCATATTATATCGATTCACAAGGTACGTTGTATCAAAGCATATCGCATTGTGGAATTGCTCATATGTTGCCTTACAGTGTGAATGCACTCATACCATATTTCGCAGCCTACCAATATTTTCAACGTCGATTGAATAGAAAATCTCTTTATCCTTCACCTGGATTTCACGAAAAAAGTTGAGCAGCGACTGTGCGTCCCCTTCTTGCATTTCAAATCCTTACTCTTCAAAATATAATTTCTACAACCCTTTGGAGTGCAACCCAAATTTTGCGGTCCACCACATTGAACCTCAGCAAGTCTAATATTCTTGGAGGGTCTAATGCTAGATCGATCGTGAGCTACAAGATCCCTCTTCAAAGAATCAAAAACAGACCTATGTCCAGCCATCAAGCGCGATACGGATGGGAGCAAATCATGATTGTGATCGTGAATGACCTTAGAGACGCGCCAACAACCAGAATCTTCCAAAACAACAGCTAGCCTAGCTTTACAATTGTTACTCTTGGTGGTAAACTTGATTCTGCGAATCCTAGTCCTATCACAACAGTAGGTTATATACCTGGCAGTGTCACCACCCTTCTTGTTGGAATTTCTTTTGATGACGGAGAATCCTCTCAGTCGTGCATGTTCTTTGTAGAATGCAAACAAAGTATCTTTATCTCTAAATCTCATTCCAGAGATTGGACCTACAACCACATCCTCTTCAGTGAATTCATTCTCCATTTCCCGATCAACATCACATAACTCTAACTCATTTCCTAAAACCTGCTCCTCATCATCGTTAGCTTCTCCGTGATATTCTCCATCGGCTTCTTCATCATCACTATCTAAGTGCACAAAATCATCGGCTTCTTCATCATCATCATCTAAGTTCACAACATTGTTGAAACTGCCGTGAGAATCAACATCGACCCATTCATATTTATTCAACAAACTATCGTCCGATGCCATCCCTAAAGATCTGTACAACTCGTCCCTAACTCGATCAAACCTATTATCTTGGTTGATATTCATGGTTGTTGTATTTGTGTTATGTTCATTCAGATTCATATTTTGTTGCGCCGCCAAATTTTCTTGGTTTGAATCCATTTAGAGAAGGAGAACGTGTCAGCTGGTTTAGGGATAGGTAAGGAGGAAAGTGTCCGCTGGTTTAAGGTTTGGTAAGGAGGAAGTATACAAAATCGTATACCGTATTTGTTTTTAAGAAAATACAATAATTTGTTAAAAATTAAAAAACGTATAATTTGTATAAAATACACATAAATATAAGGGAAATACACAACATTTAATTTTCGCATACTTCAAGACTTGGAATTTAATTTTGGGTTTTGGAGGGAAAAATGTAGGCTAATTAGTTAGAGGGTCATTTATGTATTTTCACTGGTGTGGCCAAAGTTGGGTCACGCCAGTGTGGTCGTTTAGCATCTCCCTTTCCAAAATTATCCTTATATACGTATTCCTAAAAAAGTCATTTATTCCTCACATTTGAAAAGAGAAGTAAGTGCTACTATAACTATGGAACAATATTCAATGAAGGGTAGTTTAGTCACATTAACTATTTTCGTCTAGAATTTAGTATTTTCTTAATGGGTATGTCCAAAGCAAATTGGTCACTTATTGTGGACCGGAGGGAGTATGGTTTAAAAGAAGTAAGTGCTACTATAACTATGGAACAATATTCAATGAAGGGTAGTTTAATCACATTAACTATTTTCGTCTAGAATTTAGTATTTTCTTAATGGGTGTGCCCAAAGCAAATTGGTCACTTATTGTGGACCGGAGGGAGTATGGTTTAATAGTGTATTTCAAGTAAATAGTACTCCCTCCGGTCCAAAATAAGTAATTTTTTAACCTTTTTTTGTGGTCCAAAATAAGTGATTTTTTCAGATTTCAAGAATGAATTAATTATTTTTTTCCTACATTGCCCTTGGAGTAAATAGTATTAGAGTATGTGTTAGGAGTGTTGATGTAAAGAGATAGTAAAGGTTAATATGGTCAATTTTATTGCTAATTAATATTAAAAAGTGAATTTCTTAATCCGTATAAAAATAGCTAAAAAATCGCTTATTTTGGACCGGATGAAGTATTTTTTATTCATAAATATTCTGGTTTCACAATTTTTTGTCCAAATAAAATCATTATATAAATAGTACGTATCTATGTGTTGGAGCATCGGTCACGTAAACCCATGCTTTTTTTTTGTATGCCATATAAAATAATATTATATTTAAAAAAAAATGCTTAAATATACATTTGTGCACCCAAGCTCAAAGGGTCTTATGGTTCAATGACTATTGGGTGCACATTTATGAGTGAAGTTAAAAATTTAATTCTGAGTTTGTAGGCATATCTAGTGTCTCTTCTTGTGTTTTAGTTAAGTATTTTTTTTATAATTTAATTTATTCATTCAAAATCTTCAAATCTAACGCATTAAAATCCTTGATCTCCCTTTGTCATTGCAAAATTTTATGTAATTAAAACTGATATCAGTAAACAATGTTAGCATGATTCAATGATCACAGCATTTCCAATATGGAGTATATATAGGTATATATGTTAAATAACATTAAAATTGTAAGACAAAATTTAATTTTAACTTATGATTTATAAATGGTAATGGATTCATGGTAAAACTATCAGTCAAATGATTTTGTAGCTCATTACAACTTGTTTTTAGTTTTATGACTCATCTTTTTTTTTTTTACACATGAGATCTGCTTTGCACATAAAAGGTCTATCTTTTACACATAAAAAATCTAAAAAGACATTTTTTTAAATTTAATATTATAAAAAGCCATGAAGGCCAATTACCTCGTAAAAACCTAATGGTTGAAGCCGTCAAATATAAATCCTAAAGTGACATCTTTGTAAGTGTGAACCTATCTTTTTGGAATCCCCTCTAATAAATACCATTTCAACTTTCAAAACTTTTTTTATTTTTACTTTTCAACTTCAATTATTATTATTATTTTCAAATGATCTCGAATACTTCAAAACGTCAATTATATTTAATACCAATTTTTTCCGCATAATTTAATGCCTACTTTTAAGATGGTGTTATTTCATGTCAAATTTTGAATTGCGAACCTCCCTCTCCGTAGAGTCCTACACAGATTCTGCTAATTAAAGACTGATTTCAGCCATTTCTCCAAACCCAAAATTCCCATCTAGTTAGCGAAATGAAATCTAATTCAGATTGTTTATACATTGACAAGATATTTAACTCTTTCTTTTCCAGTTTGAGTACTCCACTCTTCACAATTTCTCACCTTTTAGACTAAAGACGTTGCTTGCACGATCTCTGCTGATATTATTAAAATTAAAAAAAAAAAAAAAGAGAAGGATTT